TTCCCATCCATAGCAAAATCTATTAAGTAGTTTTGGTCATTTTTACATAGTCTTTATTGTTAGATTCTGAGTTGAAACTCTAACAGCATAATAATCACTTAGAATATAAATCCAGGAACACCTGCCAGTACAAACTATCATTTTCCTTTCATGTAATACATTTTAACTTTTTTGCAAGTAGAACATTACTGGTTACTTTCAAATTTTTCAACTGATTTTCTAAGAGATAAAAGTAAGTTCTAAACATAATCAACTTTCTCTGATTAACCTTAAAAAGATCATGTTACACATTTTTAAACTATGAGCATGTTTTAAGTTCTACATTTTTTGAAGAGCAAATGTACTTTGAATTCTCTCTTGATAGTACTGATCAGAGTGGTAGACTTAGTAATCTCTCCCTACGTGGAGTCAGGAGAACTGATCAGATCTGATCTGCTTCCCAGTCCTCTTGCCACTGGATTTCCCTCACACCAGCTTTCCCTGCCACCTCCCACCCTGCCGGATCTTTTTTTTTTTTTTTTTTTTTTGTCAGTCGTGGGGCTTGAAGTCAGCATGGGTGCTGTCTCTCAGCTCTTCAGTTCAAGGCTAGCGCTCTACCACTTGAGCCACAACACCACTTCTGGTCTTCTGAGTGGTTGATTGGAGATAAGAATCTTATGGACTTTCCTACCCAGGCTGGCTTTGAACCACAATCCTTAGATCTCAGCCTCCTGAGTAGCTAGGATTATGGGCGTGAGCCACCAGAGGCCAAACCCTGCCAGATCTTAAGCAGCTTCTTTCTGTCCTCTGCCTGGTCTGCAGTGCTGGCATCTCCCAAAGGCAGGTTTGAGAACCTCTTCTCAGGAAAGCATCCTGTCTGCAGCCCTGTGGGATCACCCTCTACCCTTTCAGACCCACCTCAGCAATGCCAGCTACTAGACAGGTACCTCACAGCTCTGGGAACATACTCTCTGAGAAACAGGGAGCATACTTACTCCTCATACTTCTGTGGCTGGGACTTCCAAGGCTACAGCACCAGCACATCATGGCTCTGGTTGAGGACCTGTTTCCTCATCTATAGGTATCTGTATTTCTCTATGTCCTCCCATAGTAAAAAAGACAGAAGACCTGCCTCAGGCCTGTTTTCTAAGGGTTCCACTCCATTCACCAGGTTTCTGCATCCCTAAAGATCTTAACACCGTAGCCTTAGGGATTAGGAGTTCCATGTTTGAATTTGGGGGGATAGACACGGACAACGCAGTCAGGCTTTCTGAGCCCCACCAGCTCCCTAAATCCAGCATGCCAAGAACCATTCTCCCCTACATCTTCTGACCTGCTCTGTTCTCACTGCCGTTTGTCATCATGATTCTGTGTTTCAAAACACATAATAACCCTTAGTTAAATGTGCTATGATTAGGACAGCCGGAAGCCAGATAACTTAGGTAGTAGAGCTCAAATATTAATGAGTTCCTTCCACAAATATGAACAAGGAGTCAGCTGTGTGCTGGGTACTGATTAGGCTTGGCTCTGGGCTCTCAGTGAATGCAAAAGAAACCCTGGGCATCCCTCTCTCACAGACATGCTCATTGATTCTCTTTAGCACCAAGTGGATAAGTGCCCAGAGGAGTCTAGACAGAACTCTAGCCTGGGTTAGGGAGATGACACTACTGATCAGAGCAGATGGAGCAGGGCCTTCCAGGCAAAGAGAAACAAGGCACTCAGAAAGAGGCAGCATGGAGTAGCCTATATTGAACTTAGAGAATATTAAAATTCCAGTCCAGTACCTTACTTGTGGCTACTTAACTATACAGCGCCTCCATGATCTCCTCTCTAACAAAGATGAAAAATACCTGCTGCGGGATACTGTGTAAGAGTTAAAAATAAAATCCATACCAGCTCCCATTGTTACCAAACACAATGGCCTCCCCACAACACACTGGTGCACAGAGGCGTCAAGCCCAGTCCTCCTGTGTGTGCCAAGCCAAGGAGGAGTTGCATCTTAGGAGGTGCTGGGCAGTGTGGAAGCATCTCACTGGGGCATTAACATGATGAGATGTAGGCTTAAGAAGATCACTGTGACAGCAATGAGAGGATGCAGTAGAGAACAGGAAAGAGCAGGGCCAGAGAATCACACACACACACACTCCTCCCAATGCAGTAACTGTCACCCTCTCCAGTTATGCTGAAGAAAGAAGCTAAAGTTCTTCTTCTTTTTTTTTTTTTCCGGTTGGTTGTGGGGCCTGAACTCTGGGTCTGGGCACTGTCCCTCAGTTCTTCAGCTCAAGGCTAGTGCTCTACCACTGAAGCTAAAGTTCTTATCAGTAGCTATCAAGCTAAAGAAATGCTACTAGATCAGGAAGCACAGAAACAATTGTTTTCATCCTTTTGGAAAGAGACCACCGTGACATAATTTGAGGCAAGTAAAGAATCTGAGATTTCCAAGCTCATCCTCAGTCCTGTTCAAACTATAGATTTACACTCACATTTAGTCTCAAAAACTTATTCTCAAACCATCTTACATTTTAAATTAGAAGTTCTTAGCTTGTTGGTGTTTCAATGGATAGGTTTGAGGTAATCAATGAACTCCTTATCAGAGGCGAAATCCTAAGTATAGTTTTACTTCTCTAGTGAAATGATCACAAAGCTTTCGTAAGTGCTCAGAGGTGTCCCCCTCCTGAAAGCTAAGAACCACCATCTAGATAGAAACAAATGGCCTTGCATGGAAAGAATTTTTCTTGTTTATTTGGGACAGTCTCATTAGGTAACCTAAATTGGCCTTCGGCCTCCTGTGTGATGGGATTATAGGAATGCTCCACATCAAGTACATTTAATGAACTGTTTATGGGTCCTATCTTACCTATTTTGTCTGAACTCCAAGCTCTCACACCCAGCATGTCTGCTTGGATGTGTAATAGGCATTTCAAACCTACATCCCAGGCTGAGTTCCAGTACTTCTCCCTGAAGGCCTGCCCCTTTCTGTAGTGCCAACTTCAGTCATCAAGCTGTTCAGGCAAGACTCCTCAGAGTCCTCTTAATCTCGTCTTGAGTCAGTCCCACAGGACCATCCTCTCTATTTTCAGAATATATCTGGAGTCCCACAGCTGCTACCACCACCTAGTCTAGTTTTCCATCACCCCTTTCCCAGTAGATTAAATGGCCTCTCACCTGCCTCCTTACTTCTACCTCCCCCAACTCCAGTCTGCCAGGAGTACTCCAGGAGCTTCCTGTCTAGCTCCAAGTGAAACTTAGAGTCCTTCGCTGACCTGTGGCACCTCTTGTGGTCTGATATGACTTGAACCCTGACATGTTCCTGTCCTCTTTTCCCTCCCTGTTTCCTCTCCACACTGGCCTCTGTGGCTTCCTCAAGGTCTTCACGCCTGTATTATCCACTGCATGGAAGGACCGTTCTGCTGCAGATCTGTCTGGTCTTTGTTCCCTCCTGCTGTGGATCTTGGCTGAGTTCGGCTTCCTTGGTCCATCTGCTTAAAACTGCAGCACCCCGTCCACCTCCCCAGTACATCTGCCCTGCACACTCTGCTACTGATAAATGTCCACTGTTTTCTTTTCGCCTCCCTCACTATAGCATAAACCCATTTATTTTCTTTCTCAACTGCATCTAGAGCATTTTATTGTGGGCTCCGACCTAAAACAGGAACTCTGTATATTACCTGGGTGAATCTGATTGAAGAATTATTTGTGTCTTTGCTATTATCATCCTACACATCTTGCTCATGGTAATTTTCCATGCACTGTTTCTGTCATGACACTGAATTATTTGGATGGATTGAATTCAGGGCTTCATACTTGTTACATAGGCAAGCTATCACTTGAGCCATGCCTCCAGCCCTATTTTTCACTGATTATTTTTAGGAAAGAGCCTCGCTTTCTGTTGGTTGTGGTGTGTCTAAGTCATGATCGGCATACTTTTAGGCAGATATCACCTGGGTCACAAGCACATGTTACCACAGCCAGATTCCCACCTTGGAGATGGAGTCTCACAGACGTTTTGTCTGAGTTTAGCCTGTAACTATGATCCTTCCACTGTCATTCTCCCATGTAACTTGGAATGACAGGCACATGCTACTCCACCCAGCTATGTATTGAGAAAGGATCTCTCCAACTATTCTGCCCAGGCTGTCCTTAAGCCATGATCCTACCGTTCTTACTCTCTCAAGTAGTTGGGGTTACAGTTATGAGACACTGGCATCTGACAGCTGTACTTAACTTCTTACTTAAAATACTAATTGATTCACTGATAATTATAGATCTTTATGGCTTTTTATTTGAGTATTCTGTTCTCAGCAGCAAATTGTCAACCAAAAATTTATCACCAACCACTCCTAACAGGTTCTTTAAATTCCCGATCATCTCCTCTGAGTTATTAAAGTGATTCCTCTAAGTTCACTATAATAGTTTTATAATTTTGGAGGATGCTCTGTTAGTCAGAAAGTATTTCTATGTGTTCCATGCTTTTCAGGGTGGAAGTGTATCGGTATATGGTAGGCCTATTTTAATTTACAATACTCCATGCTTTATTACATGGTTGTAGTCTAAGTTGGGAATATCAGAGTCATGTTAGGCATTCTTAAGGCACAACACATCTTGGCCTAACACATAGAATTTCCTTTTATTTGCCTGTGCCTGAACTCTGGGAAAACAGTAGTATAATAGAGTCTGAGGTCTTTTTAATGCCATAATGGCACTACATGTGGTAAGACCTTTTTTTTTTTTTTTTTGTCGTAGGGCTTGAATCTCTGGATCTGGGTGCTAGCCCTCGAGGTCATTTTGCTCAAGGGTAGCACTCTAACACTTGAGCCACAGTCCCACTACTGGCTTTTTCTGATTAATTGGAGATGAGTCTCATGGGCTTTCCTGCTCTGGCTGGCTTTGAACCTCAGTCCTCAGATCTCAGCCTCCTGAGTAGCTAGGATTATAGGTGTGAGCCACCAGCACCCAACAGTATGACTCTTTTTAAGAATGCTAAATTTTGATGTCAGTATGTTTACTTTGCCCTGTTTCAGGCTTTACAAGATGAACTTGAAAACCGCTCTAGTCAGGTGCGATGTGCAGAAAGAAAACTTCAGCACAAAGAACTGGAGTCCCAGGAACAGGTAGGCCTTTCTCTCCTTGTTTATTTACTTCTCTAGGTCTGGGAGCTGATGCATTCCTGTGTCAACTAGCATTCTTTACCTGAAAGTAACAGAATACCCCTCTATGGTTGCCATAAAGAATAAAGGAACATATTACTGCCTAGAACAAAATAGCTGGAGGTAGAACAGAGTCTGGCTCTGAGTGTCTGGCATTCTTGTGGCTCTACCTCCTGGCTCTCTTTATTCTAAAAGCCACTCTAAGATGGCTTCAGCAGTTCCGTGCGTCCTGCCCAGGGTAGCAAATCCAGAGCAAAAAGGGATGGCCAGTTTCTGGATTCTGAACAATAGGTTAGCTTTCCTTACTCCCCCACATCCTGTCATATCTCATTGGCCAAAGCAGACTACATATTCAGTCACATACACAGGAATGGAAACTGATAATACCAAAACTAGCCTAAGCTAATCAGGAGTGATCTCCTGATGACAGAACTAGATGAGAAAGAAAGATACAAAAAAATAGAGAAATGAACGTTAGGTAGGCTGCCAACAAGTGTCTGCTGTGTCAGTGGTTTAAGATTAATGGATAGCATTTTACTTAAAAGCATAAGTCATGTTTCTACTTAAATTTTCTTCTTTTCATTCTGTTAATAAAATTAATGTAACACAAACCAGATTAATATGGCTAGGGCAATAGCTAATGGTCAGTATTATTTTAGAATGGTAATTCTGACATTAATTTTAGTATTTGTAAAATGTTTTTAATTTGAATGTAAAAATTTTAATATATGTAAAAAAAAATCAGTATCAACAGAATCCTGAGTCTGAATGAAACCTGCCACAAGGTTCACATTGTCCTCAGCCACTGGTGTTGGCATTGCTTACCGCATCAGTGCCCCTGAGCCAGTATGTACAAACCCACCTAGGGGCTGCCAGACATCTCTGCCTTATCTCAGTAAAACTTGGTACAAGAATAATAGACTAGGCCATTTTGCCTTGGAGGAAAAGGTAAACACTGAAAAGTATGGCCAATAGGGAAGCTTTTGTTTCATCTATGGAGATGTTTACAAATAGAATCTCATGGTAGGGAATTACACAGGGTGGCCAAAGTAAGTACCTGATAGGTGATGAGTGTTAATGATTGCTGAACTATGCAGTTTACAAATAATTTCTCTCAGTATTGTTCAAATACACATATAAACACATATGTATGTGCAAATGATATGTCTATACCATACATTAATAATAAGGTAACAACATAGAAAGACTACAGTGAAAAAACTAATAAAAAACTACACTTTGTCAAAGTTACTACAAAGCAACAGATATTGTACAAGAAACATTACAGATAAAGAGAACCTCATTATAAACCAAAAAAAAGGTAACATTACATGTTATTTTTTTGGTCAGATGTGGGGCTTGAACTTAAGACCTAGCCACTGTCCCTGAGCTCTTTTTCTGAAGGCTAGTGCTCTACCACTTTGAGCCACAGCACCGCTTCCAAGTTTCCAGTGGTTAATTGGAGATAAGAGTCTCATAGACTTTCCTGTCAGGGCTGGCTTCAAACTATGATCCTCAGATCTCAGCCTCCTGAGTAACTAGGATTATAGTTGTGAGCCACCAGAGCCTAGCTTATTTAGTCTTTACAATAATGACAAACTCTGTATTGTTATTCCCATTTTATAGATTAAAACTGAGATTGATTGCATAACACCTCCAAGGCCACACAGCCTTGTAGAGTAGAGGGGCATCAGACTTAGTTGAAGTCCAAACCTTTGTTCCTGGAATGACAGTTTTGAAGTTACATTTCCAGTTAAAAAACAAGAAAGAAAAAAAAACTAGTTCAGTGATATGGAAAGTAAGCTTATTAAGGATGGTAGGAAAAGAATTATACTGTTCAAAATGCCTTGTTAGATTTGCAGATTCCATTGACCTCCATAGATGGAGACAAAAGCAAGGAGCAGCAGATTTGGCCACTGATGCAAACACCTACTTAGATGGGAGCGTGATCTTGTGCTATCACTGAAGGTCAGCTGAATGCCAGTCCTCTGTCTAGGAAGCTTGTAACTAAAAGGAGAAAAGAAAAGCTTCTTAGAAGCAGGAAACTGTTCTCCCTGAAGGACTGGGGGCTCTCCAGTTTGTGGTCAAACATGACTTAAGGTAAAACTTTGTTGACATCACTTTAATTCATGGCAAAACTTCACACAGAAAGTTCCATAATATATTGAGAGTTGGGAAATTAAGAAATCCCAAATGAACAATAGGGAAGGATTCAGGAACTACTTTCAGTCTTTTTTTATTGACTTCTTTTTGATCATCAAAGTTACTTTCATCTTTGTAGTGACAATAGCGTTTTTAGAATATTTCTTACACTAATTCCTGATATCTTCTATTAGGCTGTAGTTTACCAAAGAAATGTCAGGAAATACCCATAATCTTTGCAACATTGAAATGCTGTGTTTTTTTCCACGAGGTCCTGGGGAGTAGCTATTTAAAAAAAAATAAAAAATTAGTTGTTTCAACAAAACTGAGTAGCATGTAATTGGCACTTAATACATAATATTCACCATATTTAGTTTTATCTTTTATCGAAATTTGACACATGTCCCCTTTCAATTTGTGACACTAGGAGAAATAGTAAAAAAATATTGAGTATTATAATAACCATTTTTTGGGTCTGCTTTCTTAAGATATCTAAATGTTGACACTGTTAAATTGTGACCTTCTCTTTGTCATCTTTGAAAGCAACTTCAGGAACAGTAGCTCACCCCACATCAGCCAATCAAACAACCAAAATGTAGGCAAAACAGCAACTTAGAATTTTCTTCCCTTTCTTTTCAACCAAATATTATTATTCTGATACTGGTTGCATAAAGAATCAAAATTGAAACTGGCAGAATTACAAAGGATGATTTCCTAGGCTGCTTTTTTTAACTTGCTTGTTTAAAAAAAAAGTTTAAACTGCTTCTGGTTTTCATTTAAGAAAAATTCCTGTGTTTTGATTCTACAAAAACAAAAACTGAATGAGGCATTTTAAAAAGTTATGTTTTTAATTAAAAACAAAAGGCTGCTTCTCATCAGGTCTTGATGGGTGGTATCCCCGCTGCCCACCACTTGCCTTGGTGCCATCAGCAGTTCTGGCTTCTCCACAGGCAGATCAACAGACTCTCCAGAGAGAGTGCACCCATCCATAGACCCAAGGGAAGCACTGACACTAGTGCAGATTCAAGAGAAATAGATTTAGAAAATACTGTTTGGTAAGCCAGTCTTACAAACACACTGTCTTTCCTTTAATCCACCAAACATACCCAGAGCTAATCAGTTTTACTTCTAGATAAGATTGGAGCAAAAATCCATAATTTCAGCAAAAGATGGAGGATCAGAGCTGCAAGCAAACATCATTCATTGTGCAAGGAAACAGCCGCCTAGAAAGGATGTGACTGCCCTGACATGCGACACTGTATTGGCAGGCCCAAGGGGCTACTTGTGCAGACCCCTCCCACCATGTGAGGTATAATACATGTCCTGTCACTCAGGACATGTATCTAATATAGATTAGATAGGGAAAAACTGAAATTCACTTTTGTCACTAAGCATGTTAAATTCTAACCTAATATAATGTGGTATTAACATATAAATATGTATATTATATATATAATGTGCAAAAGTTCTTCAAATTAGTGATGTGCAAGTTTAGCTATGAGTGGCTTTCATATTGATTTGCCATACATAGTGGTCAATAATAATAAAATAGTTTATAAGTCTCATGGTCTCAATTGATACATTGTTGAATTTTTTTTGCTTTTCACATTTGATTACTTTAATTGCCCAGAATATTTATTTTAAATAAATAAATAAATAAATATATAAATAAATAAATAAATATTTCAAATAACGAGGTCCTCAGATCTCAGCCTCCCGAGTAGCTAGGATTACAGGCGTGAGCAATCAATGCCCTGCAGAAATTCTTTCTCTGGGTTCTATGGCATCAGATTCTCCTGGCTCTGTTCTTTCTTTCTTATTCATTCCTTTTAAAGTCTTCTTTAGATCCAGTCCTACTTTTCCGACTCCTTGAATTGGACCCACCCGTTCAATCAATACTTAATAGACCTCCTAATAAGTAACTTGCATTTCACCAGCAAATCAATCTTCTTTTACTCAATATTTGCTCCATTGTCAATGCTGATCATGCATGTTGACCAAGTACTCAAGTTCTTTAACCTCTCTGGATATCAGGTACAATATCAGTACAGTGTTAGTAACATTACCTTCCCGCAGGACTGATGGGACATCAAAATGAGATTATGCATATAAAAATACTTCAAACACTATGCAACACACCGCTTCATTGTATGTGACTAGATACTCATAGTAGAGGAGAGATCTCTGAGCTGCACATAATCCAGCCAGAGAACAGAATGAAGGAGACCCTGCTCAGGTGTGTTCAGGGAATAATGACTAATATCTCAGCCAGAGGGTAGCCACAGGGAGAGAAAAACAGGACCAGAAAATTAATTTCATTCATGCTATCCATAAAAGAAATGGAAATTGCTTTGTTATTGAATATCTGCTGTTTACTAAGTACTGTGGAATGTTAAGGGCAGTTGGTGGCCATTCTTGGATGCAATGCAGAGTTCAGTCATTCTTCAGAAAGTTGTCATCAGTGGAGATTTTTCTTTTACTGGACACTGTTAATGTAGTTGCGGTAATACAGAAATTAATCAGCAATAAATAAGATGAGCAAGAGCTGAAAAGAGACTCAGTGAGAGGTCATTGCACTAAAATTTGTATCTCTAATCACAGAGAAATATAGAAGACTTGAACCCATGTTAGCAAAAGGCATAAAAAGAGGGGTAGACATGAAGACTAATAAGGAAAAGTTACAGGGACATAGAGATGAAAAAGGGCAAAAAGAAAGGAACCTGTCAAAGTAATACTGAGGTTTTAATTGATAAACTGGTGTCAGGTGAACACAATACTATTCTTTCTTGCATGTGGCATCTGAGATACTTAGCAAGCAAGAC